GGGGGAGGGGGGGAGGGTGCGTGCCCCTCCTGGCTAAGGTGGCACCAGTTGCCCATGCTCTGAACCACAGTTTGTTTTTCATTTAACAAGCTTTTTAATTAATTTCCAACTTAATTTAATATGCTTTGGTCTGATTCACAGCAAATACTGCAAAGTTCAATATACCTTGCACAGGAGAGCCAAACCTTGCTCGCAAAAAGCCTAACAGGAATCAGGAGGAGAATGAAGAAGCTTACACTAACATTCTGCTCCTCTCCGCTGCTCTGACAGCAAACATGGCAAATAGAAGCAAGCTTGCAAATCATTTGAGGCAAAACCCATTTCTACCTTTATGGTAAATTGGTGCCCCTCACAAGGCCCAAATCTTGCTTTATTTCTCTAGATGCTGCCATGACAGTGTAAATAATCTATTCTGCCTGTGGTGTACTGAACAATGAAAACTAAACTGTGAAACTATACTGAACTATGAAAAACGTTCTCTAGTTACCTCATACATCTTTGTTTCTTGACCCAAATATGAAACAAAGTCTGCATGCAGAGGTAGCTGCAATAACAGAATATTAAAATCAATGAGGAATTAATCCCCTTCTGATGGGCAACATTTTTTACTCCCTCAGTGTCATGATTCAGCCTTTCCAATGCAAAATCTTTACCATAATGAAAAAAAAAATAGTCACTTCAAAACAAACTCATTTCAGTCTAGAGTAATAGACAGCCAGGAGAGGGTACAGAAGTGGTTAGCCACAATTTAACCATTATTTTGGAGCGTTTTATTGCTGCTGTTGGTAATTAAAAGATGTCCTGTTTCGACACTTCTACCCTCATTGATTTCAATGAGAATTTCAGAACCTAAATATAAGCTTGATGCCAACATAGCCTTTTTGGATCTGGCCCAAATGTCTGGCCCAAAGTGTATTGTCTTGGGTAAAAAGAGGTAAGAGTTTCAGTTCTCAACACCACTTCTAATTTTTAATCTTTGCCTGGGATGATCCTTGGAGTTAGCATTCTTCAGTATTGGAATTAGTGCTAAATGGCTCCAGTTCTAAATTCCTTGGCTTCAAAATGGACAAACACATTTCTTAAGCTATTTATGTCATTTCATATTCAAATTAATCTGTCTAGTTCCCATGAACTGAAGCCTTGAAACTAGCCTTAGTTTATTCTTAACTTCCAATATTCTTAACTTACTGAGTCATAGTTATGTTTCAGCTATGCTGATTGCTGATCATCAAAGAGATAGGAAAGGGCCCCTGCTCTCCACCTCTTATAATAGAGATGCATTTGCCATTCAGTCCAATTTAATCATTCATTTATGTGCACCTTTGATGTGACTAGAGGGCTTCAAACAAATGCTTTTTATCGCATTTCAAAAGAGAAATATGCATATAAGGACTGAGTAACCAAGACATTCAGTGCATTGTTCTTTGATCCATACTAGGAGAAACTTTCTGGGCTCCTAGAAGAGATAGCCCATCTCATAAGAAAGCTGCACACTTTAGAATAATAAGCTGCTGATTCCCCACTTTCAGGAAGAGAAGTCTCTTAATTTTTTTATCCACTGCCCTGGGATAAAGGTTGAGGGACTTTCCCTGTGTAAAACTAACACAGACAAGATTTGAGAGGGTCAGGTGGAGAGTGGAATACATTACTATGTCCCACAATTTCCACAAAGTATTTTTTGTTAGAAAGTTAGAACTATCCTCTGCTTTAGTTGAACGAAATGCTGAACAGGAGGATAGTAATAAAGACCTATACATGTGTTTCAGGGTGGGTGGGTGGGGGTCAGGGAGGAACTGTTTTAATTTGAGCAGCTCCAGAGAGCTGCTCTAATTAAAGTGCCGACATCATCTTGCGTATTTAGTGTCCCACATTTCAAAATGGCAACAGGGGTGATTCAACAAAAACTTGTTCAATGAGCTTTAGTTAAAGCACCTGGCTACCATTTTGAAACATGGGACACTGAACACATGAGATGCTGCAGCATGCGGGAACCTTCTGATTAAAATACTCCAGCAGAGTCGTTTAATCAAGTCTGCTCCCACACGTTCTAATCAGAATGTGTCAGAGCGCGTATAAAAGTGCCCAAAGAAACCACAGCTCTTCACCAGCCTGAAACCTATAAACAATCCTAAATGATCAGTGGGAGTCATGTATGAAATAGCTTGGAAACCTGAAGCTTGTCAAACTTTAAGCTTGATCTGGATAGTCTCATCACATAAAGCTTTATCTCCTTAGTACACAGCATTCTATGAAGCACGTCTCCAAAGACAGAGATAAAAACAGCATATGGTGAAGTCAGAACACACAAGGAGAGGGAAGGGATGCCAAGTTAGCTCCTTCATCCAAATTCTTCACAGCTTCTTGGTTATTCTGAAATAGAGGGGCAACAAAAAGATATCTCACTGTAGTTTACAAAGCTGAGTTGTTAAATCACTAATAAGATAAATAACAAAATGATATTTCCAGTAGAAGTGCATTTGTAATAAATCATGGAGCTTGGAATGAGTCAACCACCTTTTTACTGTCAACTTGAGCCTTATAAATAACCATGTATTTAAAAAGGCTTAAAGAAGAAATGACTAAAAAATAGCATAAACACATTATATTATAATTACACTTCACTGAAGTTAACAGAAGAGAACAAAGTACATACAATGTATAATGGTGCAATTCAAGTAAATGCTATACAGTTAGTTTTCACTCAGATAAATTCTCTCCCTTTTTCTACCGATTGGCTCAGATTAAAGAGATGAGCATGTAATGCTATTTAAAATCATTACATATGATATGCTAATTAAAATCATTCTAATAATCCAAATTCCAACAGGTTCAATCAGTCACTTCCAGTTACTGATATTTGGCGTGGAAAATATCACCAGCTACATCTATAAGAATATTATTCTACCCAAGGGGTGTCGAGGATCACCTTCATGGGCCAAATCTGGCCTGTGGAGCCATCTCATCTGGCCTGCAGTGCTGCCTGCCACTGTGCCACATGCAACACGTGCTGCCCCCAGCACTGCATGCTGTATGTAGTGCACAGAGCCTATCTGTCATGGGCTGCACACAGCACGGCACTGGTCCAGGGCATGTTCTGCATGCAGCACCCATGCCAGACTGACCCTGCATGCTGGATTTGGGGCCTTATACACCACATGCCCCACAGGTCTGGAGCCAGTGCATGTTATAACCTAGGGGTTGGGCTGGCGAGTGGGCTGTGTGTGGCACCCACAGCAGACTGGCCCTGCATGCTGGACCTGGGACCAGTCTGGATTGGGTCCATAGATCTGACCTGCCTGCTGGATCCAGTGCACAAGGCCAGTCTAATGTGAGTCCCACCGGGTAGCACTTAGCCACATCGCAATTAATGGCATGTTTAGAACAAGCTATGAAGTTATTCCACATTTTTTGTGGATTAACTTTGTAGCTTAGTGCTTGTCATGCTTATCATGCCATTAATTGGTTGAATGTTTAGCTGGGTCACAACTTAAGATGTGATGACCTAGTTAATCATGCCTTAAGTGTAATAATATGCAGGCAATGACACATAAAGAAGTGTAACTTCCATCTTTGACACTTGCATATGGTCTGGGATTCTATTTCAATGGGCATATGATCTTGCTTGAAAACAGGTGGATGAAGAGGGCAGCCAAGAAAAGGAAAATGTAGGGCCAAGAGGAAAAGTACAAGCAAGAGGGTGTGTCAGTTAGTAAGATGGATGCTTCCTTGGAAGGGAGGAGACCATAGATTTTGAGATCCTGCTCCCAATTGAAGAGGAACTTTCCTAGTGATGTTTATCCAGTTTATCCAATGAAAATTAAAGCTGAGATGCAATGGCCCAGTTTCAAGGGTAGGACTAGAGAATGGGTGATGCTTGGGCCCATGGCCTGGTGGTTCAGAGCACTTTGCAGAGTAGTGCTCTAAACTTGTGTTTACCTAGATGATTTTACTTCCTAAGATGGGGCATGATCCTATTAAATATGTTCAGTAGGCTTGCTCAGGCAGTGCTGAATCACACACTGTGCAAATGTTAAAAACTGCAGTTACACAGTTACATATATGTCATTTAGGCACACCAAGTGACACAGGATAAAGCCCTTAGAGAGCTAGAGGTCTGAAAAATCTAAAGGTCCAGTTCTAAAGCACAATGAAGTTGAAGGGATTCTCTCTATGGGTTTTGGATTAGATTCTATATACTTACACAGGTGATCAGATTATAGGAAAACAGGACTGGAAGGGACCTCACAAGGTCATCTAGTTCAGCCCCCTGCTCAAGACAAGATCAGCCATAGCTAAGCCATCCCAGCCAGGTATCTGTCTAACCTGCTTCTGAAAGTTTTCATGGATGGAGATTCCACAATTTCACTAGGTATCCTGTTCCAATGCCTGACTACCATCATAGTCAGAGAGGTCCCCAGGCTATGGAGAAACTCATGTACCTAAGAGATCCTGTGCATTTCTTTCCCTGCAATAATCACAACCCACCTCTAATGATAAACCTTCAAACCCTCCTTTGACACTTGCACGCCAACAGTAACCTGGCCCAAAGCCCTCTCACCCCACCCAGCTCCCCCACATGCAGCAACTGCCTGCCCACCTGCAGCATGCCCTCCCAGGCCCCCATCACTATGTAGCTGCTGTCACAGGACACCAACAAGGGGCTCCAAGAGGCCACTGCTGGGGCTGCTGTTGTTCCAGACCCACCGCATCTGGGCCCACCATGCCAGCCAGCACTAGTGGCAGCATCTTGTCCAGCAGAACAGGAAAAATGAGCAATGGCTGAACACCTTTTGGCTAACCTGGGCCACCTCCAGGGACCTGCTCCACCAGCTCCAGCCACACCTGGATTGCCAGAACACCAACATGCAGTCACCCCTCCCCACCAACATGCACCTGGCCCTGGCTCTGCTCAAGCTAGCCATGCCCACCAGCCTCCGGTATATGGGTGTCCTGTTCAGCATGGGCAAGGCCATTGCTGGGGAGGCCACCCTGGAGGTGTGAAGCAACCTCCATGACATGCTGGCAGACACCATCTTCTGTGTTCATAGCCCCCAAGCAGTGGCTTCAAGGTTGCATGCTCTTGGGTTCCCCCAGTGTATCAGGACTCTGGACAGGACCTACATACCAGCCACCTGCCCACTCCATGGAGACTGCCCCTATTATAGCCACAGGGGATTCCACTCCATGGTACTGTAGGCTGTCATAGACCACTGTGGGATGTTCATGCATGTGAGCACCAGGCCAGTCTAGTGTGTGCAAGGGGCAGGCAACACACACAACACCTGCACCTTTCAAAACTACAGCCCAGATGCGCTGCTGTGAGTGGGTGCTTCGCACCAAGGGTGGTGGACCTGCAGCTGGGCCGCATCGTCTTCCCATCCCTGCTCATTAGGGACCCTGCATACCTGCTCCTGCCCTGGCTGATGAAGACCTACACTGGCCCACTTTAACCAGTGCCTGGGCTGGACCCACACCCTGGCCGACTGAGCCTTTGGCCACCTCAAGGGCTGCTGGAGCTCCCTCACTGCCCACAACAAAGTTGCCAAGGAGAACCTCACCTGGGTCATCATCACAGCCTATTTGCTGCATAGTATCTGCGAGGTCCAGGGAGAGTTGTTCTGCAAGGCCTACGCAGAGGAGATGAGGCAGGTGGAGGTGACCTGGCAATGGGAGCACCAGCTGTGGCATCTCCCTCTGGTGAGGCCCCAAGTACCAGCCAGTGGGAGCAGGGCACCAGGTGCAGGAGGTTCTGGCTGACCACCTTCTGGAGCACTCCCCTCTGTAGCCTGCCTACTGTGCCACTCACAGACCCTGTCCCTCCTGCCCACCCCCAGCACTACTGTCATGCCAGACATGGATCCAAGGAAGACATCTTTATTCCCTCACAGTATGCAACCCATCCCTCCCCACTCAACCAACAGAGCTACCTCCTCAAACAGAGCCCCTCCACTACCCTTCCCACACACCAATAAAAAACCCTCTTCCAAGTTTGAAAACTATGTACAGAGTCTGTATTTTTGTGCCCCAGAGTGGGGGGCCACAGGGCAGTGGCACCTAAGGGACAGAGCCCAGGGTGGGTGACCAGCACCCTGGCCTAAGGTTG